ATACAGTGTCCTCCAATCCTCAACAAGACAAGCAATCAGATTTTACCATTAGCAAATTGCCCGTAAAAACTGTAACAGACTGTACGTCAGAACTCGGTACAGTTGTTACCGAAGAAAGTATATATAATGTGTATATAGAAATAACAAAAGATGATGCTAACTCAAGTATTCTCAACCATAAATATCAGTGTACCGAAACAACAAAACTAATTTATAAACGGTTTCCTGACAGTGCACAGCGTAACCAAAGAATAACATTAGTAAATAATAACATGATTCAGCTGAACCATACAGATGTAAAGCATTTACCGTATGATCCAAGAAGAGTGTACCAAAGATTAATATCAGATAATAAGTATGTACAAATACGTTGGATAACCACAAGAGTTAAAGACAATCAAATCGTGGCACTTTACCGCAATGCATGCATGGCATTTTCGAAAGAAGATTATAGATTTACTCTTGGATTTAAAAAGTTCTCCCATATATACCAAAGATTCAAAGACCATGAAGAATCTAAATCACATAACGCTGCCGTAATTGCACTATTAAGTTGTACAACAGAGAAAGATATAAGCTTTTTAATCAAAAAAGGTATAGTGGAAAAGCAGAAAGCGCAAGTATTGAAAAACATCAAAGTATTTAAACAAAGTTATGGAGCAGTTATTTTTATTGGAAAGCAAGCTCTTCTATACAGAGGTAATCGGGGTAAATCTCTCTACAGTTTACACGATAAATCTATTGATTATAAAAACTTTTTGAAACTAATATTGCTGATAGCAGAGTTTGACGTTCCTCTTAATAATCATATAAAAAAAGCTATTTAGGCAAGTCAAAAAAGGAAAGGTTGTTTGATACGTAAAGGAAAAGGAAGCTCACGTAGACGTGGAGGCTTGGTAACAATGTTGTCATAAACTACAGTTAACAGTATTCTAGCTGCTATTTTAAACTTGATGAAGAATTGTATAATTAAGGAAATTGGTAATCAGAAATTCAGTGTTCAAATGGATGGTAGTCAAGATACGTCGGTGATTGATCAGGAGACAATAATCTTACGATATGTACTTGGAGAGGACGTGAAAGAGCGATTATTTACGGTAAAAAATTACTGATGCAACAGGTGCAGGACTATACCAACTATTGAAATCAGTGCTTAAACACAATGGTTTAAAAATGGAAAAAATTGTGGGTGAATCCTTTAATGAAGCAGCAAACATGCGTGGTGAATATCATGGAGTTCAACGTTACATTAACGACGTTTCACCAAATACTGTATACATCTGGTGCTACGCGCACGTTCTAAATTTGTCTGCAACAGATATTGTGGAAAATATGTTAGCTGTCAAAAATTTAATTGGTCTCTTGCAGAGTACAGCAATTTACTTTGGCGATTCTTACAAACGAATAAACGCTTATTCGTTTGTAAGAATCGCCATTCACATTCACGGATTCACACAGACGGATATTCACATTGGACAAGGAGTTGGATCTGCAAAACTTAAAAGACTGCAAAAAAGACTTGCAGATGGCGCTTGAACAAATTTTGGAACTTATGATGCTCCACAAGTGGAATCTTTCTATGTTCTTTTGCAACTTCTTAATTGTATTAGGATGTCTTCAAGATTCGATAAAAAATCAACATTCGAAGCCACAGCACTGCATGACAAATGGTGTCGATTCGATGTGCTTCTTGCAGCTTTTCTTCTTCTGCGTGTGTACACCGCTTTGCAACAAACATCCGAATATTTGCAAACAAAAAGTCTGGATTAAATAAGTGCTTGGAATATGGTAGAGTCAGCAAAACAAGAACTGCAGACAATATCGTTCGAAGATGTCCATTCCAAGACAATTGCATTTGTTAAAGAAATCAACACCCTCCTAGATGCTAGTGAACTTGATTCAGATGTTGAAACAGAATTGCGTGTAGAACGAGTTCATCAAAAGAAACGTATGGCAGGGGAACTCGCCTTTGATGACATACCAGAGAACCCTCTTGATCGTTTCAGAATGGATGTTTTCTGTAGAGTAATTGATCAAATTATCACTAGCATAGATGAACATTTCTCAGTTAACAGGGACATCATTAGACACACTAAGTGTTTTGATCCCAGACGTTTTAAAGAAATTGTTGAAAATGGTATTCCAGAAAACAGTCTTGCAAAAATTTCTCAACTAAACTTTGTTCTGAAAGATTGAGATCTGAATTGCATAGTTTTGCTATAAACTTTGATAGGCTCTCAAAAAAACTGAGGGATGAATTTACAGTGAGCCCTAACGACGAAGATTCAGAAGAATCGAATTCAGTCTCAGAGTTGAATACTTCAACAAAAGCAACTGAAAATGAGAATGATAGAGATTTTCAGAACTTTAAGCGTTGTGTAGGGTTTTGTAAAAAATGTTTAAAATGTTGCTACAGTATTCTATACAAATAATCGTTGAATGCAACTGCTTATTCAAATCTGTTTCTGACTTACGAATATCTATTAACACTTTCATTCTCACGAGTGAGCTGTGAACGGGCATTTAGTAAATTAAAAATTGTCAAAACTAGGGTGCGTTCCTCATTATGTAGTGACAAGCTTGAAACATTTATGCTGATGTCGACCGAGAAGGACATTTTGGATTCATTTGCAGTTGAGGACGTAATTGCCTATTTGTGTAAAGGTTTCGTAGAGTTATCAAAGATATTTCTTCTATAAATTACATTAGGAGATTGTAGTCAGTTACAGTATAAATACCAGATAAAGCACAGGGTCCATTTTTATTTTATTTTTATTTTGAATGATTTAAAAAGAGGTTTATTACTCATTTATCATAATAAATTCTTCGTGTTATTATTATTACTGTTATTATTATTATTGTTTTTATTAATGTTATTGTTATTATTAATATTATTGCCATTTTTATTATTATTACTATTATTATTATTATTACTATTATTGTTATTATTATTATTATTATTATTATTATTATTATTATTATTGTTATCAAATGTATTGTAAAAATTATTTAGGCAAAATAAATAGCTTGTTGTTGTTGTTGTTGTTATTGCTACGTATAAGTCATTAAAGTGTAAAAACCCTTTTTTATTATTCTTGCGTGAATTAGAAACTAATACACTCACATAAGTTATTTTTATTTTATTGCTTTTTTCCTATACCTGTTATGAGCTCACTAAATACCAAAAATCAGCCTTTTGTTTCTTTTTAATATAAAACATATAATTTAATATAAAAGGCTTAAGAAAAAACTGTGACAACCGTGGAATAATTCCATAATGCTATAATTGCTGTGACAATCGTGAAAAAGTTCTAACAATGCTATAATTGCCGTGGCAAAGCTCTTACAATTCTGAAAAGTTAATAAAATAAAATATTTTTATTATTCTTTGCAAAAGTTTTTGTTTCCCAAACTATATACATTATTGGTCTACAGTTAAGCGGTTTAAATTTTTTTTCTTTTTTGCTTATTGCTCCTTCGCCAGTGGAGACAATTTAAGATCCCCTTGACAAAACCTCAGAGTCACTCCCGTGCGGCAACAGGCTATAAGATAGTTGATGAATGAACTGATGCCAATAAATATTCTTTATATTTATAACTGATGCCAATAAATATTTCTTTATAAAAGTCTTCATGAACGAGATGATACGGAGCAATAAATAAACAAAACAAGTTAGGCAAGGTTACCAAATATTATTTTTGATAATTTAATAACTTTTAAAAAATTTGATAAAAAATTTGGAGTAAAGAAAAAATATTTTTTCATTCATAACATCCTTGTAATCAGATTTTGTTGACAAATTTTTATTTTAAAAAATAAATCTGTAAAAAAAGTTATTTTAAAATTGTTCTTAAAAACTTTAAAAAAAAACAACAACTTAAAAACTTATTAAAAAATTTTAAAAACTTCTTAAAAAAAAACTTCTTAAAATGTTCTTAAATTTTAACAATCTTTCAAATTTCTTTAAATTAATTGTTGTAAAGCAGCTTTAAATCTGAAAGAATTTCTTTTTAACATTAGAAAAAAATTTATTCCGAATCGGTCATTCTTATGTAAACATTTTTTTTAATTTAAAAACATTTTAATGATTTTTTTTTCTAAAATTTTTGTTAAAATGAATCATAGTCAATAGAAATCCTGGTCTGGAAAAGCTATTGTTTCAATCTTATTTTAAAACCGTATCTTGAAAAGTGCGTAAAAAGTAGTCACGTGATCAAATCTAGTGCAAAACAAATTTTTAAATGGCGTTTTCTGAAGAACTTTTTACAGGCGAAACGCTTGATTATATAATAAATATTAATGCTGATGATGAATTAAATCCAGATTTGCAAGAATATTTTGATAATGCATTATTAGAGGTAATAATAATTTTTAAATTTTATTTAGAATGGTTTATTTTGGTGTAAAGGTTAACGCAAATGATTAAGTTAAATTAAAAAAACATTTTTAAAAGTTATTGTATCCTAATATTTACTGTTGATAATCGTACTAAAATAATATATATATAATAAATGCTATTTTTAATATATATTAGGTAACCGATATTGGAGACTTCAAGTGCAAAATTTGCAAATCCAAAACGTATAAAACAAAAGGAGGCTTAGCACGACACAATAAAAACAAACATACCATAAAGAGTCTTACAGATATGCATTATAATGATTTTGTCACAGATATAAAAAAAATTGTTGCAGAAACTAAAGCTGATTTGTCAACAAATAAATGTTATCCTCAAGAAGTTATTTCAGAAATAAAAGACTTTGAAATAAAAATAACAGAAAACTTTTTTGATGAAATAAGAAAAATGTCAAAAATATTAAAATCATCTGGAAATGCTGAAAAGTATTATTCCAACTTTTATAGCAATATTGTTCTCTTTTCAGACACATATTTTAATCTAAAGAAACCTGCATCAACAGTATTTACAACAAAGTTATGCAATAAATTATTTCAGCATTTTCAAAGCTCTCCTTCAAAGAATGTTGAAGTTGAAGAAATTTCACCACGTGATTGATCTTTGCAATCGCAAGGTATTTGACTGGTAACCAAATTGATATAGTGTAGGGTTGTCATTTCTTCGACCTAAACTCCGTTGTCTACCAAAGTATTCCTCCAAAACGTCTTGATTGAATTTTTCAGTCAAAACAAACGGCATACCACTTTTTAATAAAAATTTTACCAATTCGATAACAGACATTACAGTTATTTGAAGTCCTTCGTACGTTTGCCAAGAGATAAACATTCTTCCTTTTGCATTGTTGGAAAAGTTACCAGGACGATTAATAATACACTCTTTCCATTTTTCTAGATAGCATAAAAATGTATTCTGTAGCCATGTCAAACGCTCGTCATTAACATCCGTGTATGGTAATAAAAATGGTTTGCGTTTCATTATCCCTTCACTGCTGTTTCGCACATTTAAGCAATCAAAAAAACTATCTAACATTTCACAAAATTTTGCAGTTCCATTTGTATCATCAGGGTAATAATTTTTTAAAATGTTACTGACACTACTACTTAAAACCTGGGCTGCAAGTCTTACATTCATAACAGAATAAGCACTAAGTTTAATATGATCCTGTGTTAACTTTGGTATAATTTTTAACCCATTTTTCATTTCGTCATTGACTATTCTTGTGATATGGTACCAAATCAATTGTTGTCCATCATTCCAAAGACTTCGTGTACCCCTTCCATCCCCTGAAATAAAAAAAGATTGAATCTTAATATAACACAAAATTAATGCCTACAATTCAACTCTCAATCTAGGGAGGTTTAAAACATTGCATAGCCCTTCTAATCTTAGCTAAATAAGTAAGCATTTCATACTTTTTAATATAAAAATCTGTTATTTTATTATTACTTTCCAGCAAGAAATAACCATAACCTGATAATTTTCTACTGGAAAGGCCTGTAAACCAATACACTTTAAATATAATTTACATACCTGAGTGATATAAACAGTTCCTTGCTGTTTTGATGAGATGGGGATCATCAGCAAAAAACCATAAGTACCGTTCAGGGGCATAAATATTAATGCATCGATGAACAACATTACAATCTAATTTGTCATCAAACATACTATGCATTCGATAGAACTTTCTGTTTGGTGCTGCACCATCCGATACTGCAGCTATAACATATAATTTACATGTCAGTTCTAAAACTCCAACTGCTTCCCAGAAAGTTGGCATTAGTTGAAACGAGGTGAGACCTTTAGTAGCAAAGTGACATAAAGCAAACTTTAAGTCAGAAGCAATACCTCGAATGAAGTAGACTAGAACATGGCTTGCTAAAGAATCTTCCTTTTGAAAAGTAGAATATAAATCAGGTTCACCTAAATCTACAAAACCTATAATGTCACCTGTGTGTTTATTAAAAACAAGTTTTTCTTGTATTTTTACTTCATCAAAAGATAACGTTACATATCGTTGGTAGCCAACTAGGTTAATACTAATTTTATTCAATTCTTCAATTACGGGAGGATTTAATCCAGCTTTCGGTCGAATGAAATTCTTATAATCTCTTAGAGTTCTGCGACTTGGTAATGTTAGTACATTTGATGAGCGCAACTCATCATAAGCTGAGGACGACTTTGAGGCAAGTGAGAGGCAAAACCGTATTAACATAGGGTGATACTTTATTGAGCCAAAATTTTTATTACACATTTTCTTTTGCTGGTCCCAAAATAATTTCATAAAGGGAGTAGCTTTTTCGTAGTTACTACTCATTATTTGATTTAAATCATCAACAAACCCATCATCAATAGTAATACCTTTAGAGTCTATTTGAAAATTTATTTTTTCTAAATCACTTGTTAGCTGGGCACATCTTAGACGTTCTTGTTTTAATGCTAATAGAACGCGAACAGGATTTGTTTTACTAAGTGGAGCTTTTCGAAGAGCAGGTGTGGCTAACTGATGTTGTTTTTTTATTTTAATCATTTTGTTCTTTTTTAGTGTGTGGGTACAAAATGAACAAACAGAATTTATATTATCAGACTCACTAGTATGTAATATAATACATGATTTTGCTCTTTTAAACCTTTCATTTGATACACGCATACCATCTGTACTTGCACTTTCTAAATCAAATTCCATTGGAACAATATGATCAACAAAATCATCATTATTTATATTTCTGATGTTTTCTATAATACCAGAACAAAATCTTAATGTACATATTTTGCATAAAAGTTCGGTAACTGTAGTGTTCAGCATTGATCGTGAGTATAATTTATAGATTAAGTGAGTATCTGGCAAGAGCCACCCAAATACAATAATGGTGAACGCTAAACTGTCATCTACTACAACTTCATACTTAGGTAACAAATACAAAGGCAATAACTTTTTAAATTTGATATTGTTTTCATTACATGTCATCTCCCATCCACTAAGTTTTAACTTTTGGGTTTTTTTCTGTAAATCAATTAAGTTTGAATAATTTATTCGCTTCTGTGGGACAATATCTTTTACAATACTTATGTGTCTTCTAGGTACCTTTTTTTCTTTTTCATGTGATTTTATGGGTAGGTTAACAGTTGGTAAAGCCTCTAAGCGTAATGATTTCCTTCCAGTTTCTGAAATTCAACATATTTCAATAAAGTAAATATAAATTATCACACAAAAATAAGAACAATACTGAGAAAAAAAGAGAATATGTTATCCACAAATTTATATAAAGCCACAAATACTTTAAGCTTTATGAAATTTATTTGTTTATTGTACTTAAACTTATCAGAGTTGCCCAAAATTAAAGCTTTTAAAATTAAATAACACAGAGTGTAAAAGCAAATTTAAACAACTAAATATATAAAAGTATCCTTACTTGTCAATTCAATATCTTCTGCTAAAAAATGATTCTCACATATATAAATATTGCCCTTTGAGAGTCTTTCTTTCAAATCTTTGTCAAAGTCTCTATACTGAGTGATAATAGCTAACAATCTCTGTCTCCATTTTTTATAAAAGTCTCCTGTCCTCATAGGAATTCTGAATAAGGTGATATCTTTGTGCTTAATAGATCTTGAAACTGTACATCCTGGTAGACAACAATTTGAACCTGGCATTTTGGATTTATCTTTTAGACTTTTTTTAAATATAGAATATAAAGAAACATTTTAAATTGAATAAAGTTTTTAAACCATAGACAATAGAAAGGAACCAATATTATTTTAATAATAAAGAAAAATAATAATTTTAATATATTAATTTAAAATAAACATCAAAATCTTTATTAATTCGTAACTTTCATTATAAAAGTTTTGTTTGTTTTGCACTAGATTTGATCACGTGACTTAAAAAAAGCGAACAATAACATACGACAATAGCTTTTCCAGACCAGGGTTTATTTCTATTGACTATGAATGAATTAACTAAAATGTTTGTACAATTAAAAATTTTTTTATTAGATATTTTAGGTCTTACTCTTTATATTTGATTTTCAGAAAAAGGTTTTTTAAAATCTTAAAGAACTTAAATAAATGTTTTACACGATTTTAGTGACCAAATGATACAAAATATTAAAAACATTTTGATTCAAAGACTATAACAGCTTGCAGTTTTTTTTCGAAAATCATAACAAAGTACTAAAAAAAGCGGAAGAGAAAATAAAATGACGGTAGGAATATTTTTTTTTTTAATTTTAGTTTTATAACATATAATAAATTAAATTTTGTGGAAGTGGAAAACAGTGGTGCATACGAAATAGTTAGTAATCACTGAATCGCATAAGCAATATAAGTATAATGATATGAATATATTATTATTTCATTTAAAATATGTCATCAACAAAAAGCCATTTTTTTGCAATAAAACAAAAAGCTACTTCGTTCAGTTTATAATGTTTTGCATTTTGATTGGCAATTCAATTCAATCAGTTGGTCCAATACTAATTAAACTAAAACTTTAAAAATGTAATCATATTTATTGATTTTTTAATAATATACAGTATATCATGTGTAAAATACAGTTAAAAAATACAATTTTGATCAACAAATTCGGACTGAAGCCATTATTAATAATTAGTAAACCAATATTAGTACACATAAAACTAAACTTAAATCTCTTTATTGGCATCAGAAACACGCAGCTCGCATAATAACTTTTAAAAATCGTTTTTTGAACTCTGAACCGCTTTTTACCACGTTTTTATTAGCTCGCTTTCGTGTTTGTTTGTTTGTCCGGGTGGAATTTCGCAACTAAATTTTAACCCACTTTTCGATTAGCTAGAGCTCTGAAACTTTTACTATAGCTCAGAACCCGATGACAATGCAATATTATACTACTTTTACCATGATTTGCAGAGTTTCTTGAACAATTTCAGCAAAATAAAATTTATTTTGGCGAAACTTTTGGAGGCGTCGCCGCAATTTGACGCGTCGCTTTAAATAAAAAATTTTCAAACAAAAAAACCAAATTTAACTGTCGCTGTGATTTTAAATGAACCGCAGCATAAAAACAAAATCAGTTGGTTACAAAATATAAAATTCCACCCATCAAAAACTAAAAAGAAGAAAATAATATAACAAATAAAAAAACTTTTTATAAAACCACGTTTTTGTAATGAACTAAAAAGTAGAAAATAATTTTCTCTTGTGGATATAGAAATTTTTGAAAATTAATTGAGTCGATAGTAAGTGACATGAAAACTTTTGATTATTAACTCTTAATAATTACGATAATATTTGTAAAATTTTAAACGAAAAACGTGGTGCGCATCTTGTCACTTTAAATGATCATCATCGTCCTTAATTACTTTAACTATTGCTTCCTTCTTCTGTTCTTTTTTTTCGTTAAATGCGCACCACGTTTTTCGTTTAAAATTTTATAAATATTATTGTAATTATTAAGAGTTCATAATCAAAAGTTTTCATGTCACTTACTATCGACTCAATTAGTTTTCAAAAATTTCTACAGCCACAAATAGCCACATGTATAGCCACAATGTAATGTATAGCCACAAGAGAAATAATGTAATGTATAGCCACAGATAATGTAATGTATAGCCACAAGAGAAAATTATTTTCTACTTTTTAGTTCATTACAAAAACGTGGTTTTATAAAAAGTTTTTTTATTTGTTATATTATTAAAGAAATGGACGTTTTAAATGTTTATCAACTAAATGTATTTAATGTTTCGTGTTTTATGTACAAATGTAAAGAACTTATGTCCCCCCGATGTATTTGTAAACCTTTACAAAATTAAACCCCAAAACAAATATAACCTACGTAATAATAGCTTTTTAGAAAAACCTTTTTGCAATGATAAACAATCTCAATTTTGTATATCTTATCGTGGACTTTTTCTCTGGAATGAAATAGTACGGCCTAATTTTATTTTTTAATCTAAATTGACTTATTCTTTTTTCAAACAATCTATTAAAAATACATTTTTTCAACAAAAAATATTTTTGATTTTTTTTGATTTGAGAAAAAAAAAAAAAAAATTTCAGTTGCTATACTGCATAATGATTTGTTATGTTTTATTTTGAGTTTCACTTCTGAAGTATGTAGTGTCAAATTTATGATATATTTAGTGATTATATATTCTCGGTATATATTTATTGTATATAATATATAGATGTTTTTATTGTAGAAGAAAAAAGAATTTTGTTAAGGGATTCGTGATAAGATCGTTACGATCTTCTTGAAAGCCTGTCCGTATAATATTATAAATCTGGATTTAAATAATATTGTACGGCAAATAAAATAAAATAAAAACTTAAAAAAATATTTTTTTTTTTTCATTTTGATCATTGAATTTTTTTAAACAGATGATTGCACCGAACCTGCCAAAAAACAAATAATTTAACAGTTTCTTCATGATTTCCTAAGGAAATCAATTTAACGCCTAAAAAAAGCCACAAAAAAACACAGTACCGACAACTACTTTTTTTAAATCGGTTACCTAATATGTATTATTTTTAGCGTATTTATATAATAAAAAATTCCTAAAAGTTTAGTCAAAAATAGAAAGTAGAATCACAAGTAATTTATTGCAGCGCAAAGTGGGCCAGAGTATACCGAAAGATAGCAAAAATAAAAAAACACCTACATATAGTGCACTTTACACATCTAATCTTTTGTTTTCGGGGTCAAGAGCCATTTCTTATTGGCGTTACCCAGTGGGCATTTCGACGTCGAACGAGCGTCGAGCGATGTCGGATCTCGACGTCGGATCGACGTTGGGTTTACGTTGGAAATGGAAATGTTATTTGACGTCGGATAAACTGACATCGCGCGACGTCGGCATTCCGATGTAAATCCAACGTATTTTTTGAAAACTAAAAAAACGTTGCCTTAGGCAGGAATCGAACCTCGGTCTATTAGATAATAAATCCTACGCGCTTACCACTACACCACAGGGACATATTAATTATTGTGTTTATATAGTAATGTATACTTGTAGCTATTTGGGAATTATTACTTTGATAAGAAATAATTTTGTTTAAATGTTATATAAATATTAAAACGAATAGTTATATATTATAAAAAATGTATACTCGAAAATGTTAATAGTTAAAAAACTATGCTAGTGCATCATACAAAACCTCATAATGTTTTATCAACCATTATTCAAACTTTTTTCCATTAATAAAAAAACACGCTTAGCTCACATAATTATTGAAGAGCGCAATTGCACACATATTGCACATCGTGTTGGGTTTGGATTAAATTTTCATCAGCGATGTCTTACGACGTTGTTCCGACGTCGTTTTAAGGACGTTGGATTGACGTCGAAAGACGTCAAAAGACATCGGAGTACGTTAATACTATGACGTTGCCCGACGTCTTTTTATCGACGTTGGATCGATGTCAGTACTGCGACGTTTTTTGGACGTCTTTTATAAGATGGCGGAACAACGTCAAAATACATCGAAACGACGTCAGGGGATGTTGAGATAAAGACATCGCCCGACGTCATTTTACTGACATCGGAACAACGTCGGAATAGGTCTTTTGACATCGCTGATGAAAATCGTACGTAAATCCGACGTCGGATTGACGTCGGGTGCCCACTGGGTATCCAGTGACACATTGGATTTTTCAATACTTTCTGGCAATGTGCAAACTCTAAATTTAAGTATTTTTATGATAAGGTCAAATTTTTTGCAAAAAATTGCGCTGACTAGAGCCAAGAACGCATAAAAAAAAAAAAAATTGTCAGCTCCCTTACTCCTATGGTAAGGACAACAAGTTAATAAGATAATTTATTTTACCTAACTCTAAATTCAAATATATAGCTAAAGTTTAAATTTCATCTAACAGTCTTTTAGATTCCAAAAGTTGTTTGTTGATTGATTGATTGAGGGATTCCGAATAACCATGTAAAGTTTCTATATTTTCTTCTAAATGAAGAGATTGTAAATTTTTTATGGTCAAAACGATTTAAGGGTTAATAAGCAGACTGGAATCCTTTTTCGATCATTTTATCATTATGAAAAAGCATAATTTGAATGGAGCTACATCTGATATTGCAGGAAGATATCGTAAAATATCTGCTGCTATTATTTTTCAACATTACTTTACTACATTATTTTATTATTTTACAAAGCAAAACAGATTTAAAGCTCTAATTAAAGACAAAGACCCGAGGAGCTGGTAAATTGACTTTCATTGAATCAACTATGAAAGTCAATTTTTATAAAGATATTTTAAAGCAAAATTTGAAGCCCGCTCGTTACTTTGATTTGGAAATAACTTTGTGTTTCAACAGGACAATAACACTACACATACTGTCTTAGCAAGAAAGGAACATTTTTGAAAGAATGATATTAATGTGAAAGAATTGTTTGCCCTGAATTATCTCCTGACTTTAATCTCATTGAGCTTTTGCGGTACGTTTTTGACAAAAATATTGGAGATTGAGCTTACAGAAAACAAATGAACTCTAGAAGAAACGAAATCTCTGGTAAAAATTATGATCCGTTTTACAGTGTTTGCTGGGTTGGCTTTATATAGATCTTTAGTTGTGCTCTAGTAGATCAAGCAACAATAAAATGATTATTAATAGCACGTCAATTATATTTTTGCGCTAATGCAATTTCTGAAATGCTGCAATAAAGATTATTTGAGATTTATATTTTATTTGGAGAAGCATCAATTGAACAAATAAATACCATAAATTAGGGTTCTGAGAAAACTCCTTTGAATTAGTCTGAATCCAGAGTTTGATCAGTTTGAAACCAGAGTTCATTTGAAAATAAAGCAAGATGAAGGAAGAATGGAAGAAAGCAAGAATGTAACACTATTACTCTTACTTAGCAATTTAAGTAAAAAATTTAACCACCCGTGGTGCAGTGGTTAGAGTGGCTCAGAACCAAGAGTTCATGGTTCGACACCGGCTCTAGTCAAATAATCGACATTGGTAAGAAAGGAGGCGTAATTTTTATGGTAAAATGCTTCTCTGTGATGCTCCGTGATTGAAAGACCAAAAGGTTTGCTTGGAGCACCCTTATACTTAAAATTTTTTTTTGACTGTTATCAGAGTACACATTTTTCGGTGACTTTAAAACTAATCTGTAACAAACCTGCATAATGTACAATTTGTTATGATTTCAAATTGGTTCAAAATAACCAGCCTAATTACTATAACTCAATAATACCTTGTTTAGACTCTTTTCAGTAACAATTTATGTTACTTTTTTTGTAGCTTTATCTTTAAAGCCAAAAAGAGTGCGTGTATATTTTTCCACTTTTATAAGTGACGTTATAGCTTGTCTGACTGCATTTTTACAACTTAGAGTAATTACTGTAATTTTTTCTTTGTTGCCACTTATTTAAGTCTAAATTACGAGTCGATTTTTGCGTTCGCAACAATACGTCTTGATTTATGCTCTAGTTGTATCTTGGGTTCAACTATGTTCCAAATATGCTCTGGTTTGTCCAAGAAATAGTTGTTTGTATTAGACCTTACACTAAATAATTGTTTGCACCAGACCTTACAAAGTTGTGTAATATGAAGTTTTCCTATCGATACAAATATTTAGCACAGAGGCTCTAGCTGCTGGTCAATACAACAACAGTGTTTCACTGTTGTTGTTTTGACAATAAGTTCTGGTCAATACAACAACAACGCCTTTTTTTAGTTGCTACCATTTTCCAATAGATCAACCATTTGTGATACTTATTAATTTATTTTTTTTAACTAAATATACTGCTAGTTTCATGTCATTATCTGTTTTTGATATACTTTAAGTCTTTTTACATTTAATATTATTTTCTTCAAAGATAAATAGAATACAATGATAGCAACAAATCTAAAACATACACTCATAAAACACTTTTTAAAAATTAAATTAATGTTTTTTGGACATGCTTACTCTTATCTGTTTTCATTTATGCTGCTTTTTATAAGTATCAGACACTGTAAAATAGATATTCAGTGAAGTAGTGAGACTTTTGGTAAATGGAAAACTAATCTATATATAATAGTGGTGCTGATGGTGAGTAAATGATATAAAATATTGCCAGCTTTAACGAGTTAGCTTTACTAAGTACAGATATATATATATATATATATATATATATATATATATATATATATATATATATATATATATATATATATATACATATATATATATATATATATATATATATATATATATATATATATATATATATATATATATATATATATATATATATATATATATATGTATATATATATATATATATATATATATATATATATATATATATATATATATATATATATATATATATATATATATATGACTAAATAAAATACTACAAAGTATCTATAAATATAACAAAAGTATAACGAATAGCTGAAAATGGGAGTTAGTAGAGTTGAAAATTGTTAACACTGTTAAAGCTAATCAGAACTATATGCATATGTACTGTTATCATTTTAACTATATTGTTAACTATATTGGATATTTAACTATATTGTTACATATTTACTATATTGTTACATTTTAACTATATTGTTAACTATATTGTATATGTTAACTATATTGTTAACTATATTGCATATGTACTGTTATCAACCATTATAAAGAAAGCAACTACTCACCAATGACGTTTCGAGGAGCCTGCAACCTGCACTCACACTAGTAATCAGGGTGTGTTCTACAACAAGTTTTAATCGACTGCAATTAACGTTATCTTACTCTATATTGCAACATAAGTGGACCTCAATCTATTTTCTCAAATTCTATCTTCAATAGATCATGTAAGGTTATGATGAGAAGCACTTAGGGTAGCAATAAACATATATCAATACATGCATGATGGCTATCAATACATATATCAATACATGCATGATGGATCATTTTTTGATATTTGAGATTGCTGAATTCCAAACATGGAATAAACTCTAAACATTACATATTTATACTTATGTCAAATAAGGACACTTTGCAAAAAATTGTGATGATTAGAACAAAAAACCCTAAAATTTTGGCAGCCCTAAAATTATTATTATTAGTATAATAAAATATTTCTTATACTAGTTTCAAATAAATTTTTATTCATCGAAAAGTTCTAAATTTTATCCAATAATCTAAAAACATTTAAAAATTTCAATTTTGAAACTCTTTCAATGAAAGAGGTTTCAAATTTTATAAGATCATAATTTTTAAACGCTAAGAAATTACTGCATAATATTTAAAATTTATTGATGATTTTAAATTTATCTGAAAATAGTAACAAAAATTTATTATCAACATGCTGCTCTCGTTTAGGGCAGTTGTGGCTAAAATTTTAGAGTTTTTTTGTTACCAGGCTCCAAACATCGCAATTTTTTGCAAAGTGTCTTTATTTAATATAAGTACAAAAACATAAATGTTTGGAGTTTGTTTCATGTCTAAAAGTATTTCAAATATAAAATGCTGTATCCCACCCCTGCACTTACAAATATCTCTACGTATATATATATACGAGCAGCCGTGGCGCAGTGGTAACGCACTTGCTTCAGAAACGTAAGATCCGTGGTTCAAACCCCACCTCTGGGCAAGTTTTGCGACATCGGTTGGGAAGGAGGCGTGAACTTCCTATTAAATGCTCTTCCGCGGTGCTCTGTGATAAGACCGTAAGGACTTCTTGGGGCACCTTAATCAACTTAAAAAAAAAAAAAAAAATATACATACGCATACATAAAAGTATATATCTACTATGTACATACAAATGTGCACAAAAGCTAAAAATAGCATATAGTAATTTAAGGTAAGTTAAAATTTCTTTTTTCTGAATGTAAATTTTCTGAATTGTTAAAATTGATTGTTTTTTAAAACTATAAAAAACCATAATATAGTTATTAAAACATTATCTTTTTTATCTGTATTAAAAAAGGTGTTTTAGATCTTGTACTATTAGAATTACCATGTAAACTGCTTTTTGTTTTAACAACATTATTTTTTTATATTTTATATATTTTGCATTTTAATTTTTATAAATAATAGTATCACAAACTTTAAACTTTATTTTTTAGGGTTATTCACATTTCCCGCAACATAAAAAATGGTTAAAAAAAAGAAAATACACGGCTATTGCATTTGCAATTCAAAGTTTGATTTTAGGCATAGAATACAGTGTAACACTTTCAACTCTTTGGTTATATATAAAAGAACTAGTAGACACCGAATCACCAAAATTATTTTACACATTAGTATCTGTTATGTACATACTGTCATTCTTCTTAAGTACTCCGATTATTGGAAGAATAGTCGATCGCACTCGTCAGGTTCGAGTTTGGTTTTTTATCTGCAATTGCTTTTTAATTGTTGGAAATTTATTTTATAGTCTTTAATTTTCACCTTGGTTTTTAGTGATTGGCAGATTTTTATCAGGTTGCTGTGATTTGAGTTCTGTTATTTGTGCCGAGATCATTAGAAGTTATCCATCTAGTGAAACAATTTTTCAGTTATCAATACAATCATTAGCTTTTAACTCTGGATTTATAATAGGACCTTGTATTAACATTTTCTTTTTAAAAATCGATTTTTATATTGGATATTGGCATTTAAAAAACTTCAATTTTATTGGAATATTTATGACCATAGTTTGTTTAATAATGAGTTTTCTTTCGTTTTTAATGGTTCACAATTTATCGAATGCATTTGATTTAAAAGGACTTGAAGAAAAAAAAGCTAAAAGCTTTGATATTACTAATATCAAATTATTAGAAGAGTCAATATTATCCTTAAACAATTCTGATGTGATCTTCGATTTAAACAAAGAATCTATTGAAATGTTACCGCTACTCAATTCTACAAAACTTCAGATTAGTAATGAAACAGCTGGCTCATTACCTCATTTAAACATTTTTAAGATTTTTAAATTGCTTTTTTTGCTAAGATTTTTAAATTGCTTTTTTTGCTTGCATCATTTGATACGCCGTTGTTATTGTTTAGTACGTTTTTTATTCTACTTTTTCTCGTTACTTTTGACATTGGATTCCGTTGTTTGTTATAGACACTTTAAAATTGTCTCTTTTAGAACTTAACATTTGTATTTTTGGTACAGGAGTAAGTTCTGTTTTAATTCTATTCTTTTATATAGTTAAACCTATATCCGTAGAAAAAATGTTTATTGTGGTCTTGATTGGACTATTTGGTACTTGCATAATTAACGTGAGTTATATTGTTTTGAAATACTTTAATTCTAAACCACTTCAACTAATTTTTGGCATCGCATTCATGATTAATTTTGCTGGGGCAGGTATAATACCAGAGATTTTTATTGCAAACACGTTAGCTAGATATGTTAGTTCAAATAATCAAGCTTTTGTGGATGGCATACGCAATTCAATGTTTGCGGCAGGAACTCTAATAGCGTTTTCGAGCGCTGCGTTTACATTTGAATACTTAAGTATAATTTCATTTACATTTATTGTATTAACATTACTTTTAATGGTTTTGTGAATCGCAAGAAGAACCCATTTACTTAATCCAAAACCAATATTTTAGCATTTGTTACTTTTTTCCGCGTTTTTTCATTTTTAAGAATATATAGAAAATTTATTCATTATTTTTATTTAGAGATTTAACATAGTTTCAATTAATAAATAAATTATTTATAGAGTTTATAAGATTCATTATTTTTATTAGGAGATTTAACATATATTTACATATATTATACAAACAGTTCATAAGCATTCATTATTTTTATTCGGAGATTTAACATAGAAACTATTTCATTTAATAAATAAATTATTTATGCAGCTTTTAAGATTAGCCAAACTGATCAATCGCTACTTATCCAGCAAATGATTGCTACTCTGAAGTTGTTAACTAAAGGTGATTGAATTGATTGACATAAATCAATTCAAATTGTCAAATGATTATTTCACAGAGTGTCAATGATCATTAGAAAAATATCCTTTTGAAAATTGTTAAATGATCATTTGACATGAATCAATTAAAAATATCAAGTGATCATTTGACAGAGTGTTCCATAAATTACTAATCTATTGAAATAGAAGATTCCTCTGTGTTTTTCCTATGTCATTTCCCTGCATAATTATTAAAACAGTCATTTTTTGATCTGATTGCAAATAATTAAAAAGAAAAATTATAAACGAAAAACTAGAAATCTAATTTTTCTTGTTGGCAAATACTATTCATGATTTTATACACTTGCTATAGATCTCCTTTTTTATCTACTTTTACTTTTTTGATATTGACATGACTACACATTTTGACATGTACATAACTTGAAGAAAATTTGAAATTTTTGGAAAAAGTAGAAAACATCATAAAAAAGATGTTTTCGACTTTTTCTAAATATGGTGTGTTCGAATTTATGCAAAGGCGAGTATTAGTTAAAGATTTAAAATTTAAGATAAAACAAAAGAAAATAATCTACTCTAAGGTGTGTAGTTGCAAACTTTCAAATAAAGGTTATATATAACATTAAAATAGTTTGCTACTGGTGATGCTCTGATAACATTAAGATAGCTTGCTACTGGTTGGCTATGTTGCTACTGGTGATGCTCTGATAAAAATAGCATTAAGTTTTGAAATGAATCCTATAACAGTAGAAATATTTATTAAAGAAACATGTAAAGTTATTTAGTTTTGTGTAAAAAAAGATGTTTATTAGCACCATCTTTGAAACAACAATGGTTAAAAAATTTGTAGAATACTTTAAAGGATAGAATATTCCTCATTGTCTCGGTGCAATAAATGGTAAACATGCTTAACATTTGTGGAACATGTTTACCATTTTTTGCTTAATTTGTTAAATAATAAAGTCAATGGATTAGAAAAAGCAAAAAATCAATAAATGGTAATCATAAACAAAAAAAACAAAAAAGTGTTTACTATTTATTACACCACATCTAATCTTTTTAATAAAGAATATTAGAGGTTTGTACTCATAGATTAGAGTAAATATGGAACAAAAAATTTTAAAAATGAATTATATATTTTTCAAACTTCAATTTAATTTATCTTTTTCAATTCTTATTCTCCTAAAAAAAAATTTTCTTCTTTGGAATCTTCTTTAACTTACTTTTTAAAATCATACTCAGCGGGCACAGACGTCAATCAAACGTCTTACGGACGTCTTAACTAGGTCGCGACGTCTCAGACCAAATTAGGACGTTCTAAAGACGTCTGGTAAAGACGTCTTTGTTAGGACGTCCTTGTGACGTTAATATAAAGACGATATCAGGACTTCAATATTTAGACGTCCTTTTAACGTCGCTAAGACCTACATTAGACGTCCTAATTACCTTAAAAATAAGTAAAAAAATTAATACTATCAACTTGGCGCATACAATATTATGCGCAAACTCGGTTATTTAAATATGTCTACTTGTTTTGGTTGATTATTTTAAGACTATTATTTTGTTTAGTTATTTATCGTTTAAAAATATTTTTTAATTTTCTATATTCTATACTCTATGATCTATAAACTATAATCGATACAATATTCAAATAAAAGAGTAACTAAGTTACAAGTATAATAAGGGGATTTTAACAAAAGACATCAAAATTTCACCAAGACTTTTCACTTTATAGAATAGTATTGATATTTTGTGTGTCTGTGTTATATATAAATTAATATATACATATTAATTTATATATATATATATATATATATATTTATATATATATATATATATATATATATATATATATATATATATATATATATATATATATATATATATATATATATATATATTTATATATATATGTATATATATATATATATATATATATATATATATATATATATATATATATATATATATATATATATATATATATATAAATATATATATATTATATATATTTTTTAGCATGTAAATGCATGTAGTATGCAATGTATGTATATATATTTCTTAGCATGTAAATGCATGTAGAAATATGTCTGAATAAAAAAAAAAGCCGGATCAACATTTCTTCTACTACAAATTCATGTGAGAACACCAACCAAATATTCAGAAGCAAAATAATCGATAAAAAAGTGTAATAACTATGCATAAATTTCTTAAATAAAGCAAGATTAGCTTTTCTTCTTTCCAAAAAGTATCTATGTGTATATCTGTTTCTAAAAAGAAATTCCACAAAACTACGTCTGCCTCACGCTGCCTTATAAAAGAGTGAAAAAAACGAGAACCAAAATTTTAGCACAAAAATCGGTTCCGTAAATCCGCGTTATCCGCGTATTAAAACTAAATATCGCGTATACCGCGTACTAAAACTAAATATCCGCGTATATATAATATATATATATATATATATATATATATATATATATATATATATATATATATATATATATATATATGTATATATATATATATATATATATATATATATATATATATATATATATATATTTAGCAATATATAGTAGAAGTCAAAAGTACGCCTCGTTTTCAAAATTGAAACGGATGCCGTAAATTATCGTTTACCCTCCCGGAGTTGTTACATATTATTATAAAGAATCGACTACAATTACTTTTTTTATCCTTTAATGTAATTAAATGCGCAATTTTTAATAGAAGTACTTATAAATCTGGAAAAAACACACACTTAAAATTTAAATTTTACTGTGTAAATAAAATATGCATTGCATATTTTTTTTTCTTAGCGAGGAAACGATGGATGTGGTTTTCAGAATGTCACTTAGGCAGAGTTATCACAAGGTTGTCACAAGGCCAAAAGTAGTTATCACAGAGTTATCACAGAGTTGTCACAAGGCCAAAAGTAGCAAGGCCAAGGCCACAATTTACAAGACCAAGGATAAGGCCAACGCCAAAATTTTTGAGGTCAAGGCCAAGATCAGGAATTTCAAGGCCGAGACGTACCCAAGGTTTTTTAGGACTTCAATTTTTGCTTAGCGTTAAGGCGAATTCTTCACAAAACTGTAACTTGTATTTAATATTTTCAAGACCAAGGCCAACAGTTTCAAGGCCAAAGCCTAAATTAAGAGTTGTTAGTACTTGGCTAAGGCCAAGTACTAACAACTCTGCACTGAAGTGACATTCTAAAACCATATCTATCTTAAAACTAAATTTCAGTTTAGTACCCAAAGTCTGGGGTACTAAACTTTAGTCTCTTAAATCTCTCAATTCGCAAGAGATTTCTTGTATCTCAAAGGTGATGGTAGATATATAAAAACTTGCAAATATAGCGATACAAATGACATTAAAAAGCTGAAGTTAAACAAAAATTTCTTTACTATTTCCACTTTAAGTATTCATTTTTTATTTAAACTTGTCCCAATAAGTGGCAGTATAATAAGATATATGTGTATTTATATATATATATATATATATATATATATATATATATATATATATATATATATATATATATATATATATATATATATATATATATATATATATATATATATATATATATATATATATATATATATATATATATATATATATATATATATATATATATATATATATATACCACTGTTTTTTTTAGTAATGCTAATTAGTTAATTATGCCGCTTTTATAAAACTGCATCAAATTTGGATGAAGCACACACACTTATTAAAGACCATGAACTTGAGTATACTGTTCGATTTAGTACATCCTTTTCTACCAAAGACTTTGGAAATACTGGTATATTGCATATCAATATATTTATATATATATGTGTGTGTTTGTTTGTGTGTATATATATATATATATATATATATATATATATATATATATATATATATATATATATATATATATATATATATATATGTATGTATTTATATATATATATATATATATAGCTTTGGCTCCCTGCCCCTGCATGTTTTTACCCAATAAAAAAATTCTTTTATTGCGTAAAAATTTCCAAGGGTTTATAATATATATATATATATATATATATATGTATATATATATATATATATATATATATATATATATATATATTATAAACCTCTTTATATATATATATATATATATATATATATATATATATATATATATATATATATATATATATATATATATATATATATATATATATATATATATATATATATATATATATATAAAGATATTAAGAGAGAGAGAGAGAGAGAGAGAGAGAGAGACATAGATAGATAGATAGAAAGATAGCTGTGGCTATTGGTCAATTTATGATAAGTGCCAATATGACAGTTTGCTGGAGAAAAAATTGAATATTTGATTTGTTGCCATACATTGGGTAATAATAAAAATTAATTTTGTATTAACTATAGATATTTCTGTATAAACTGCATCAATCGTAGTTTGACCAAATAGAAAATCTAATGAAATATAACAATACTGCATACTTATCTCAAAATCAAAGAAACCAATATTGAGATATTTTTTAATAAATTTTTTTTTATAGATTTACTCCTATTTGTTAAAATATATTTATTTTTACAATAATTTCAAGGGGATATTGATACCCTCATAATCATTATTTATTATAATAATAAAAAACTGTTATAATAAACATTAAATTATGTATATGTGTATTTTATTATGTCGATAAATTAAACAATATTCCACTATTATTTAAAAAGTTCTGAAAATTAGACTTTTTTTAAATAGATTTAAAGAAAAAACCCCACAAAATTTATTGGTCTACTGATTCCATTGAGTTTTCTGGTATACCATTCATGATGATTGGCACAAAAGTTTTTGATTGCCATCATGGATATGATAGAAACTTAAGTAGGAAAGAATACAACAAACAAAACAGAAAAGCATTGGTGAGTTAATTGTATTTAAAGCAATAAATAATTTTTTTTTATAAAATACAAAAATTTCATTTTAAAATTAACAAAAAAAATTTTTTTTTTTCTAAATTTGAGTTTAAAAAATCTTTTTATAGAACATTGATCATGATTGCAGAAGAAAATATGCTAGAATACAGAATTGTAAGAAATTTGATTGCCCAGCTCAACTTATCATAACAGAATACTTAGAATTTCCAGAATATAAAGTAAGTAGGAGGTTTTAATGTTTGTAAACCTACCTCCTGATTAAGATGTTAAAGTAATCTTTTAAAAAAATGTTTCTGGTCAGGTCAGATTTTATTTCATTGCAACTTTTATTATTTTTTCAAAATAGTATAGGCATGTTTATACTTGCTATAACTGTTTAAAAAAAGATTATAATCAATGTATTAATAAATCTATTTATATGTGTATGTAGACATTATGTATGTCTTTTGTTTATGCTACTCTGTTATTTTTAGCTTAAATAACTGTCAGAAATAGAAAAGCAAAATCAAAAGAGCTACGATATGCGATAATGGTATCTAAGAAAAAAATCTATCAAATCAGAAAATTTTGTGTTGCAGTACCAGATATTTCAGCACACAATGGTCATATAATTACCAAGGTATTTTAAGTTTAATCTATTAATTTGTTTAGATCTTATCCATGTTTATATTCTTTTGTGTGTATATTATATGAAAATACATTTATACTTACAAATTTCTATAAGGATGCTGGTATAACTCAGAGAATTGACCCTGAACTGGTATCTGCTATTGACATGTATGTTGAGGAAGGTGTATTGAGCACAAAAGAAATGAAGCGCTTATTAAAAATCCAAGTGAAAAACAGTTTCAGTAAAGCCGGTCATGTTCTACCAGAATTCTCAAATAAAAGATTTTATCCCCGTAATTCCACTATCCACAATCACATAACAATTTCTAGACGAAAATTAAGTAAATCTCTTATTGATCAAGATGGTCTTCAGTCAAAAATTAAGGAATGGAGAGCATTAGATCCTACTATAAGTATATTCTTTAGACCTAAAGGTTTGTTGTTTTGTTTTTTTATATTTATTTAGGTGCCACAAGAAGTCCTTATTGTCTTATCACAGAGCATGGCGGATGAGCATTTATTCGCGCCTCCTTTCTAACCGATGTTGCAAAACTTGCCCAGAGATGGGGTTTGAACCATGGATCCTTTGTTTCTAAGGCAAGTGCGCTACCACTGCACCACAGCTGATCAATTATTGTTATTACTACAGTTTTCTTAAAAATAGTTTCTGCTTTGCTTTTAGTAAAACAATTTTTTTTTTGATTTTAGGGCATTTTGAAAAAGACCTTACTGTAGACAGTGACCATGAAGATGATAATGTGAAACTAACAGGTGCAAGTGAAACCTCTTTGCTCTTTGTCTATCAAAATAAATGGCAGAAGAGGCTGTTAGCTAAATATGGTAATGAACTAGTTTTATTGGATGCAACATATCGTACCACACGTTATGCATTGCCGCTTTTCTTTTTTGTGGTAAAAACCAATATTGATTATCAAGTGGTTGGATTATTTGTATGTGAAAACGAAACTGAGGATTCAATCAGTGAGGCTCTTTTGTATATTAAGTCTTGGAATAATGACTTAAATCCAAAGTATGGAATGTCAGACTATTGTGTTGAAGAGATTAATAGTTTAGAGAAGGTTTTTGTCGGTAAGTAACTTTAAGTTTTACTTTTCCTATTTATCAAACTATAGAATTAATACATTTTCTTTAAACCACATTAATGGCAAAAAAAAGTGCTGTTTTACCATGAACATCACTAAACCTCTGTGCATCTCTTTAATATTACCTTATTTACAAGAACTAACGAGTGTGTGAAAACAAGTACAGTTTGTCATAATAATATATAATAAATATGAAAAGCAATAATTTATATTATTTTTAGAAGAAAAAAATTTGATACATGTTTTTTGTATTGAATTGTCTGAGAATTACTTATTTATTTTATACTAATATCCATTATAGGTTGTGTTGTATTCATATGTGATTTTCACAGAGAACAAGCGTGGGACCGTTGGCTGAAAACAAAATCTAATGGCTTAACACAAGATAGGTTATGCTTATGCTTACTTAGAATGATAGCACGTGCAGACACAGTTGAGATATGTGAAGCAGAACTAAATAATTTGAATAACAAAGCTCTAAGAGGATATTTATCAAGATATTGGTTACCAATAAAGCATGTAAGTTTTTATTTGTTGAGATTTTAGAGCTGAATGAAACCTGCAAATGGAAAACTGTATAATTTTTGTTTGCTTTTTTATCTCTATAAGGTATATGGGCCACTACAATTAAGGCAGATATTAAATACTTTAATTACTCTTTATAATTAGCGTTGGGTGAAAGCATATCGTCAGACTCGTTTATTGGTAAATTGTAATACAAATAATGGTGTAGAGCGACAACACAACACATTAAAGCATAAGTATCTTCTAAATCACAGAAATAGTTCCCTTAGTGGAATGTTATCTGTAGTGATTGACGATTTTCTTTCTGATAAGTATGAGAGGTTTGTTAAAGGTAGCTATTTTGCACAATTTTCAGTTTTATAAAAATTAGTTTAATTATGCAGCAATTAAACTATTTTCTAATATACATACTTTGCAATTTATTTGTTTTTATAGCTATATAGACAACAATAGATTAATGAGCTCTAAATACATGAGTTATTCGGATGATATTGATGATTGGATGATAGATTGGCCTCGATTAATGGTGAAGCATTGTCTGTTAAAGAAATCACTTGCTGAGAATTTAGAAATAACAGCACTTAAAGTTGAAGAATCTGGAAAATTCTCATTGCGATATTATAAAGACAATAAAGAACAAAATTATGTAGTAACTTTTAGAAATGAAGACAGCATGCCTAGTTGTACCTGCATGAATTGGAAAAACTCTTGTTATCCTTGTAAGCATTTCTTTGTCATTTTCAAACACTATCCTTGTTGGAATTGGGAATCAATATAACCTTTATACCGAATGTCTCCATATCTAAATATTGATATTGATTTTGATCTTGATAACGCAAAAGTTAAAGGATGTAATGATAAACTCAGTATAACAACATATTCCAGTGTAACTACTAAAGAGTCAAATAAAGTGAGTGAAGCATCGATAAAGGCTGATACTCAAAACGTAAGCAAGTCATATAAAGTGAGTGAAGCATTGGTTAAGGCTCATACTCAAAATGTAAGCAACACAGGAAGGAAATCTATAACAGGTGAATCCATTAGAAGCCTCTTGTGTGACTTACGAAGTCTGAGTTTTTTAATTGATCATGATACTGAGCTTCTTGAAAATACATTTAAAGAGTTGAACAATCTCATCACAAGTCTGAAAAGTGCTGTACCTAAAGAGAGTTGTTTGCCTCTACTACCCAATAAAATTAAAAAAATATCTAAACCAAAATGCTCCATTAAGTATCATAAGCTGCCAGCACCTAAAAAAAAAGAGTATGAAATTTAAACGTGTTGGGGAAAAAAAGGAGAAATTATTGGCAGCTTCCAAAATTGAAATAACGTTGAACCCAGAAAAAAAAAATGTAGAAACTGAAGTTATAAATAATAATTTGATTGACTATGAAAACATATTAGAGTTTGTAGATAACAACATAGTCATTTTCAGTGATGATGAAAATGATACAGATAAAAAAAATGATTCAGATGAAAAAAACTGTATATGTAAAAAAATCTCAGTGAGAGTGACTTTTCAGATATATTAAACAATGAATGGCTTTCTGACAATGTTATAAATATATTTCAAAACATGATAAAAGACCAATTCAAAAAAGTAAGTGGCCTTCAAGACAGTGTGCTTGGACAAAATCTTGCTTTTAGTACGCATATAAATAAACAATTTGTTCAAGTTTTGCATAATGGTTGTAATCACTGGGTAGCAATTTCAACATATGGTTGTAAACCTGGTGAGGTTTTTTTGATGGACAGTCTGTTTCATAGTAAAATTGCAAATCATACAATAGAACAGATATGTGCCATCATGAAATGCACATATGAGAAGTTTAATGTTTGTGTATTACCAGTGCAACAACAATCAAATGGTGAAGATTGTGGTGTCTTTTATATTGCTTTTGTTTATCATATTGTAAGTACAAGATCAAAACCAGACAATGTAACATTTTCTATACCAGAGATAAGGTCACATATGTTAAATTGTATTAAAGTTAATAAAGTTTCTTCTTTTCCTCAATCGCTAGCAAGTTGCAAAAGGTGTTTTCAAAAAGAGATTTTTATTGAACTGTTTTGCAGTTGTAGAATGCCATGGAATCCCATAGAAAATAGAAATAACAATAATCAAATGGCGCAGTGTTCTCGGTGTAAACAGTGGTTCCACAAAATGTGTGAAAACATTCCTGATTTTGTCTTCTTTAAAAAGAACCGTAGATTACCATGGTTTTGTTATTGTTGTGTAAGTGCAGTTTCATAATTATTTATTCTCTATTAAATTATACTATTCTTTGCTTTATTTAAAAAAGATTTTTTTTTTTATTCAACGGCTTTATTCAACATATTTTAGTTCTTACAATTAATAATAACAAAATAATATATTCATTTGAGTTTTTTAACAGTTTAACTTTTTAATAATGTGTTTTCATTAATTAAAATTGAATATTTTAAATTTTATTTTTAATTAAGTTTTTTGGATTATTTTAAATTTTAATCTTTACTATTATACTGATTTTTTTAGCCTAATGTTGATATATGGTTTTAATGTTGATATATGGTTTTAATGTTGATATATGGTTTTAATTTAGTAAATTTTTATGATTTGAAATTTACTTAATTGATCATTAGCCAACAGTTTAGAAAAACAAGTCGAACTCAACTCTATTGCGGTAAGAGCAATTGTGTTTACTTCTTTACATTAGAAAACTAATTATTGCTTTTTGTCAAGTTTTTGGAATTTTATGTTACAATTTTTTATAATAAAAATAATGATAATAATTTAAATTATAGTCAAAAGTACAAGTTTTATACCAAAAGTATAAATCTTTCAGTAGATGTCAGTTCTTACAATAGATGTCATCTTACACTAGAAGTCAAAAGTACATCGCTAGTTTTATACTATAACTATAAATCTTACACTAGAAGCCAAAAGTACAACGCTAGTCTTATACTATAAGTATTAATCTTACACTAGAAGTCAAAAGTACAACGCAAGATTTCAATCTAAAAAATTAGAATAGAAGTCACTAGTTTTACACAAACTATTACTACGGCGACCGAATCAATTTTGAAAACGAGGCGTACTTTTGACTTCTACTATATATTGCTAACCTATATATACAGGGGCGGACTTAAACCCCGTCAAGTGCTGCAAGTGACGGGGTAAAAAAACAAAAATAAATATAAGTATTATGACGTCTAACGCCCGCCTAAAGTTAATTGCCGATCTATATATTTTTATTAGAAAATATAATTAGAAAAAGTTTACAGTGAAAACTATGCTTTGCAGACGTTTGAAAAAGTGTTTTATAAAAATTGCTAATGTAAACTATACTTTGCAGGGTATTAGAAAATCATTTATAAAACTTGCTAATGTAAGCTATACTTTGCAGGATATGAGAAAATTATTTTATAAAACTTGCTAATGTAAACTCTACTTTGCAGGATATGAGAAAATTGGATAAGTTCATTGGTTTACACTATTAAAAGTAGTAATTCGTTAAAAAAAGTTGATGTTTAGTGTAAACTATCCTTTGCAGCATTTGCAGCAGTAATTTGATTGGTTGCAAAGATCGATAAACAACTCAAAAGAACTCAAGGAACTCAAAGAATTCCGTTCTAAAAACAAAGTATTTCCTTAAAATTTTAACGTATAAGCATGGCTTACAACTTAATTGATGATGTACTTAAAAGATTTAAAACCGATAATCTTGTCGATTTAAATACTTTTTATGAAACTTTATTGGATACATTTATTTACAACAATAACAAAATGGTTAGTAACGAAGGTCTTTTAAGTCGTTTTATTGATGGCACAATAAGAAGAAATATATGTGCCGAATTTGTATCCCTTCTTTCTTAAAAGATAATAAAATGAATTGTATTGCTCTAAGGTAAGTCAATTTACTTTTTTTTCATAAATAATTATCTTATTGTATTTTATTACAAAATTTAATACTTTTTTGTAAAAGTATTTATTGTTAATACTTTTTTGTAAAAATATTTATTGTAAAAATATTTATTGTTAAAATCTCGTTGACTAATCAATATTTAATGTGTCAACACCATCAAGTGATTTTGACATGTATGAATATAATATGTTCATGATGTATGTATTAAACTCCTACATGTCAAAATCGTTTGTTGGTTTGTCTGAATTCTTGACTATTGATTTGATTTATGAATTTGTTTAAAAAGCAAAGATTTTTTACTCAATTTTAATTTTATTGATAAAAGAAGTTTAGCTCTTAAAAACATGAAGTAAATATATATTTTTTTTCTTAAGGTCTGAAGCATCTGGAAGTTGTATGTACAGCTCTGCATCATTATTTTTTGTTGCTGACAATACACTGATGGATGTGTTAAGAGTTTTAACATCCCTTGAATTTAAATACATGCTGATTATTACTGTAAGCATTCTTTAATTTCAAAAATATTTTCTGAGTTTGTTGTGTATGTCAGTATTTCATTCTGCATTAGATTCTGGCTTCGAAAATAATAATATTATTAAAGCTGAAGCAATTGCAAACTGTGAGAGCACAGAGAAATGGGCTGGTTTTTTATGTTTTTTAGGTTTATCATTGGTTCTTTCTTGTAATATTGTTTCCTGTTACCCAGATTTTGGTGTTGAAAAGTATAAAATATTTTTTAACCAAGAGATCTCACCACTTACTCCCATTAAATTAAATTGTTTAATGTCCAATTAATTTCAGAGGTTTTTAATAAAGTTCGCGAACTTTCTTATTTTTTTAATTATTCAGAAAATAGACAAAAGTTTTTAGAAGCTAGCATTTTAGAGCGAGAACCTCAAACGCATAAAAAAAAATTAAAAGATATCTGTAGAACTAGATGGATTGAGCGTATAGATGGTTTAAACACTTTTCTTGAGCATTATTTATCTATTTTCCATGCTTTATGTATCATGGCTTCCCTTGAGAGTTCTGTTAACAAAGACACACAAAACAAATCTTCTACTTTTTAAATTCCATTGGCACTTTTCAATTCGTCTTTACTTTAGTTGTGACAACACGTGTCTTTGATTTTTCTTTACCTGTTATCGGTTACTGCAATCAAAAACTATTGATATCTTAGACGATTTGTACCTTATTACAGTTCTTAAAAGTACATTTATTTCCATCAGAAACGATATAGATAGTTTTCATAATAACTGCTATGAAGCAGCATGTTTGCTTTCAAGTAAAGGTGAAATTTTTGTTTTAAAACCAAGAACCTGTTCTATTCAAAAAAATCGTTCTAATGTTCTATCAGAGTCTGTTTCAGAATACTTCAAGAGCTGTTACTATCCCTCTTATAGATCACGTATCTACATCTATATCTACAAGATTTAAATCAAAAACTGTAGCTGCATATAAAGGGTTATCAATTATTCTATTTAATATTATTTCTTTTCTTAAAAGACCCAAAACCTAATTGTGTTGGAGGAAGCAGTTTGAAACATTCTGTGATTTTTATATAGATGATTTCCCTAATATCAGTGCCTTGAATGGGGAACTAGTTCTTTGGGAAAAATACTGGGAAAGTTTCTCTGGGACTATTCCTGACAATATATCTTTAACTCTTAAATCGATATCATTTCCTGGATTTGAAAATATTAAGATAGCTTTAAGGATACTTGGGACACTTCCTGTTACTTCATGTGAGTGTGAGAGGAGTTTTTCTGTTATGTGTCGGTTAAAAGTCTATATGAGAACAACAATGTCAGAAGATCGACTTAACGGTTTGGCATTAATGTATATCCATCAAGAAATTGTTCCTTGTATTGAT